TAAATATATATATATATATATATATATATATATATATATATATATATATATATATATATATATATATATCCACTTTCTCTGTCTATAAGTGTCCTTCCGGCCATCAATCCATCAATCTATCCATCCAACCATCATTTGTATTTTGAATTCAATCTAGTTTGGCAGAACAACGGTCCCTGTACGAGGTGTCCAGTGTTGTTCAAGCATACGACATCTTACATACGCAGCCTCTGAATAAATCCCCACTAAGTTCAAATTAATTTCAAACTTAGTCCTTTAATCCATCGACTTTGCAGGACCGGGAATTAAAAAAAACAAGTCAATAAGAAACATTTAATTCCTTGGTATATTTGCACATGAAAATCATAGATCACTTAAATAAACCTTGATCATGAATAAGATAATGAGTATCAAATTACAAATATAAATCAGGAGTAAAATTATAATACCAAAGCAATGATAAGAAGATAATAATAAAGTAATAGCAGTAGTAGCAAGAAGTTGCACAAAAAAAATAATAATAATAAACATCTAAGTAATAATAATAATAATGATAATGATAAAAATATGGATAATAATAATAGTAATAATAATAATAATAATAATAATAATAATAATAATAATAATAATAATAATAATAATAATAATAATAATAATAATAATAATAATAATAATAATAATAATAACACTACTAATAATAATAACAACAACAACAAAGGTGACAAAGCAAGTAAATAAGAATAAAAATAATCATAAAAAGACGACTGGGAGGTAGCCATATCTCCTACTGGCTATCAGTATACCCAAGAGCAACATGCAAATACACAATCTTGCTTAACACACCCACTCAGCTACAGCAAGATGAGCTGTTTATGACTTTTTTTTCTTGCTTTTCTTTATTTTTTTTATTTTGCCTCTTTTTTTTATCATTTTATAACAAAACATTTTAACACTGCAACTCTTAAGAGAATGTCAGTATTCACAAATTACAAATAACATTGTATTCTTTTTTTCTTTCTAGTTTTCACTTTTATACTTTCTTTTTTTTCAGTTCTTTCTTTTAAAAGACTTATTTCATTTTCTCTAAAACTGTCAGCTATGTATATCACAAACTCGAGAAAAAAAAAGTTTGTTAAGATATCTACAGCCACACATATAATAAACCTTTGATTTGTTCTCAAACCATTCATCATCACAGCATTCGGAGGGTTGCAAAGACATTACACGATAACTGTCAAGTGCATTTTTTTTTTTTTTTTTTTTTAGAAGAATAGAATAATATAAAAAAGTATACAAGACAAATAAGAAAACCTATCCAGAAAAGATGAATGTATATATCAGTTGACATTTCATACCACCTGCAATATTAAAAATTAAAAAAAAAAAGACCAGTTTGCAAAAGAAAAAAAAAAAAAGGAATAAGAAGGGGGAGGGAAATATTTATACACCTTAAAAACTAAATAATAAAACTAAAGCAGATTTACCATCCCCCATTAATGAAAATTCATTCTCTTGAATTTCTTCTCAGGTTTTTATCACATACGTTCACAAACCTACTGTTTCGAGGGGGTCTGTCTCTAAATGTCATAAAAATAATCTGTTTGGCATTTCAAGGTACAATATTCTAACGACTACCATTTGTTTATACCAAGACAAGGTCCCTTCATATGAGTATTCACACCCTATTAAAATCTTTAGCTTCCTCCTGGAATTGTCTAAAGAAAGGAAAAACTACCAGACAAATTATATATGCTTGATTTTGTAGTGTCAAAGCAAATGCGAACACTAAATAGCAAAATAGCGAGGGATACTTTTTTTTCTTTTCTTTTTTTTTTTTTTTTCTT